TGGGTCTTCTGCTTGACTGGCAATGTCAGAAATTGTTGACCTGAGTCCCCTACAGCTCAACATAACAGCATGGCTTTACTTCTTATACTTATTTTTATACTTTTCTGCTGATGGTTAAGACCGAGGTAAAGCAGGACCTATGCAACAAGAGTTGTAGCTTTTGGGTCTGATAAGGTCAGTGAAATCCCCTCAGGATTTATCCTGAACACTTATTTTTCTGTGTAGAACTAAAATACGAAGGCTAACAGGTTATCTGCTTGCAGCCTTCTTTGCTTTCCTACCAAGAAGCAGAGGCCAGCTCAGGACATGGTGGAGCTGTTCCAAGAGCACTTTCCTGGTTGTCCCTCAGCCCGGGTTTTCTGCTGCTATGCAATCAAGATGACCCTGCGGTGCAGGAGGCCCCTCGAGGCCCCTGAGTCACCGCAGCTAATCAGGAGCAGCTTGCTGTGGGTCATCTGTCTATTTTATCCCATTCTCATTCTTTCAAAATCAGTAACGCCAATTCTAACACAGGCAGGGTCTTTTTTGCTAAATTCCCAGTTGCACGTCAGGGCGCAAGCATCGGCGGACAGGAGCACCCGGCAGCTAAGCTGCAGCGCGTCCCAGCCCTGCGTAAAGGAGCAGGAGCCCAGGATGCTTACCAGGGCGCGCCTGTCCTGATACACTGCAGGGTGGTACAGTGCTTGATGGTCAGCACTCAGAGGGGCTGTGAGCTAACGTCAGGGACGTGGTGCTTTTATACTTGAGAGACAATTGCACAGAACCTTAAATCACCCATCAGTGGCCGCTTTCATTCATCTACATTCTCTGCTAGGCTCTGCCCATCGGACATCACTTCTCAGTAGGTGAGATGCGGCAGAGGTGCTGCTCTGCGTTCTGCTCTTTCCATGTGAGGCTGCTCCTGAAAAGCAGAGACCTTCGGCAAGGGAGCCAGGGGCCGGGCCAGTCGAGCGCCCTCCAACTCGGGGAGCCGGGCCCTCCCTTGCAGGGACCTGTCTGGAAGATGAGGTGTTCGGGGCTATGTCCCTTTGCTCGTGCCTGGGAAATGCATAGCTTGTTAATCACACCATACATTGTTTGGAAGAAACGGGCCCCTCAGTGGAAAAGAAAGTCAGATAGGTTGAGATTTTTATGGGCCTGACTCAGCCAAATCAAACACAGGCTTTCCTGGCGCTTCCAAGTTTTTAATGGAAATTCATGCTCTTCAGAAGTGTGCTGCCTAATTGTAATTCATGCCATGTTCAGATCCATTACAGGGCAGACCAAAGGGAGAATCTTAGACAGGTCCACGTGCACCCGCTGCTATGTCTTGGGCCTAATGCGCCCAGAGCCAGGCGGGCTCTGGGCCTCTGCAGGAAGGAGAGAAAAGTGCTTGCTGCATGGTACCGCAGGCTGCATGCACCGGTACGAACCGCCTCCTGCGAGGACTGTGTGTGAGCTGCCAGGGTCGGAATGTGGTCGCCAAGTCCCACGGTCCCCATAACTACAACCAGCCCTCCTCGTTGTTCCCAGCGGAGGTGCTCTGCAAACCTGTAAAGACAGAGCTACATACTGAGATGACTTTTAAAGAAAACTTCTTTTTCTCCTTCCTCCTCCCCTTCCTCCTATCTTTCCTTCCTTTCTCCTTCACTCCCTCCCTCCCTCTATCCTCTTTCTCTCTTTTTTTTCTTCCTTGTTTTTTGGAAACAGGTCTAACTGGTGTCAAGGGAGAGAAAGGAAATCCAGGCGTTGGAACTCAAGGTCCAAGAGGCCCACCCGGACCAGCAGGTAAATCTTTCTACCTAATGAAAAACTGCAGGCAGGAGTCTTTATCCTTTCTGGCTGTCACAGGTGAGGAAAATGGTCCTAGGATGTCTTTGTACCTAGTGGGAGAGAATGCCCTCTAATGACCCTCCCTGGGGTAGGCACCCTCAAGACTGTGACATGTTCTGGGTTCCTTCTGGCTGCTGGAGCTGGGCTGGCTGGCTAAGGCTGTGCAGGAGAGAGAAACCCACAGGCTTGGAGGAACAGTGGGGAGGCTGCTCAGAGCCACGAAGTCCCGCTGTGCAGAGCAGCTCTCTTCCATGTTGGACCCTCCGACCTCTGTCAGGGGCCAAGTAGTCTCCAAGAGAAAGAGAAAGAGAGACAAGGTGCTGAGGTCCCTTACTAAATACGGAGGCCCTCGACTCACACTGCAGTTCACCAGGCTGAGCTGTCACATGGCCCCAGGCAAGCAATGAAATCTAGAGAACAGGGACTTAGAGAGGTGCCAGCGGTGCCTTCCCAAGAGCCTCTGGGAGTTCTGTCGCAGCAGCTGCTTCGAGAACAGTTCCTGGATGGCCTGACTTGAGTCACATCACGCTTTGCACCCTATTGCATGTTTACAGCCCTGCTCCTAGCCAGTAAATCAAATATTTTGTGGACTTGTCTTTCCAAGCTTATAATGACTTTGGAATATAATTGTAAGAGATATTTCTTGGACAATAGAACCTCTTTGATTTTAAAGACTTCTGTTATTGCACATGGTATGAAGAATTGACCTTAAATTATGTGCTACACAGAATGAGTGGCTGGCGGGTGTGGGTCAAAGGGAACTGACTAGGGTCAAAGGGAACTGACTATGTCTAGAGCCACCATCCTACTGGAATAGAAGGTAACACTTGTCCCCACTTCTCATTTCAGCTCTAATTCAATAGGTTTATCTCTACTTGATCAGTGTTTTTTAAACACTGTTGGAACCCAGGACTAAAAATAACAAGCATGCAAAACCCAAACCCCAGCCTACACACTTCTTAAATTGAAAAATATTTTAATGGCCCTCCATTCCCATTCAGCCTCAGTTGATGTAAGATAGCCTGAAGAAACTTTAGTGTGTTGGATCCAATTTCTGTCTTCGCATTTCTGTTCTCCAGGATAATGTTTTTCAGTCTCAGACAACTTTATTTTAATATTCTGGAGGCGCGAGCCAATGCTAATCTGCACAAGTCTTCCAGCCAGATTCGGAGGTTGAGATGAGTGTGTCCATGTGTGTGCACGTGTGTGTGTGTGTGTGTGTGTGTGTGTGTGTGTGTGCCTACGGGTGTGTGCATGCCCGTTTGTTGAATTCACAAAGAGCTGCACTGGAAAATGAAAGCACTGGGGAGGAAACAAGGTCTAAAAAGAAAAACAAAACAAAACAAAAAACTTTGCTTCCCGGGTTCCCAAGCTGATTACAAGCGTTAGCCTCCAGGACAGTGCATGGTGGCAGCAGCGCCCTGTGCCTGAGGATCTAGTTTAGGAACGAGCTCAGTGCAGGACAGGAGCTGACTGTGCTCACATTTAGGTGTCAGGTTGCTTCTTGGAAGAATCCGTTATCTTCACAGTGGTCCCAAAACTCACCTTCTTCATCTGCCCCTGATTTCTAGGTCCTTCAGGGGAGAGTCGGCCTGGCAGCCCAGGGCCCCCTGGTTCCCCTGGACCAAGGGGTCCCCCGGGCCACCTGGGCATACCAGGTCCGCAAGGGCCTTCCGGCCAGCCTGGATATTGCGACCCATCATCATGTTCTGCCTATGGTGTGGGAGGTAAGTGCCACGCTTGCGTGGGCTGGGAGCAGTTTTACTATTCCTACCGCAATATGGCGGAGACACTCCGAAGGGTAGAAGAGTCTCAGGAAAGTAGAGCTTGAACTGTTCGTCACCTGACATTACCTGCAGGCATCTGCTATAAGGTGCAATCACCGTAGAGGCTGCTCATTTAAGCCCTTGTGAGGACATTCAGGATAACAGCCCACTAAACCTTCTTTGCTTGCAGAAACTTGGCTTCTGACCTCAGCTCTGGCCACGTAGAGGATAGGATGTGGTCGAACATTTTGGGGGGCCCTTTCTGTGTTACTACTGAGCTGTGGCCAAGACACCCTGGAAAATTTATGCTTTAGAGAAAAAGCCTCAAAATTTAGACTGTCCCCATAATTAAGCAGTTTCCCAAGATTCTCTGGGGTGACATCTTACATGCCAAGTGACCTCAAGAGTAAGCTTAGAGGAAACCGAAATCGTCCTGCTTGTGCCCCATGACTCACCGCTGGCCTGAGATCCCAAAGGACAATGCTTCCTAGACACACCTGCTCTGTGCATGCTCCGCGAAGGGACCTTTTCTGCTGCAGTTACTGGGAGATGGGTCAGAGATAGCCACAGGGCAGTAGACCTCCTACTCAGTGGAATTAGTGTGCTGCTTCAGGAGAAAGTTAACCTTAGTTGCCAGAGGAATCGGTAGATGCCTTGCTGATGTATTTTTCTCTGTTCGTCTTTTCTCTCCCCGTTCTCTCACGTCCCGTTCCCCATCCCTTGTTAAGACCTGATCCCTTACAACGATTACCAGCACTGACGTGGATGTCCTCCACTGTGGTCACCGTGGCGTGGGCATTGGCTCTGGATCCCGAACTGTCCTGTCAATCACAACGGCTAAGCCCTGCCCCTGACAACGGGCTCCTCTCTTTCCTGCCTCAGCTGCCTCCTTGCCTTTCCACTTCAGAGCTCTTGCTCTTCCTGCTCCAGATGTGATGGGGGATGACACTGGGACACAGCCCGATCACGCAGTCAGTGCTGGCAAGAGCGACTGCGCCAGCTCGGCCAGGTGGAGGTGTATGGTGGTGCACAGCAGTCCGCCCCAGCCCCTGCGAGGGGCTGTAATAACAAAGCTGCGCGACACCCTCCTCTGTGCTGGCCCCATGCAGACGTGAGCGGCTCTGTCCCTGGCCCCTCTACTCTCCTTCCCTCACCTGGCCACCCTTTTCTCTGCTGTCCCCCAAGGATGGACTTCTAACTTGAGATTGATTTTTAAATTTTATGTTTTTCTTTTTGTAATTCTTCTGCATTTTCAGGGTTTCTTTTGTAAATAAACCACACACTATTTAAGTGCTTGGCTGTGATTCTAGTTTTCCAACCACTTCTCTAACAGCATCCTTTCCTTCTGCTCACTCTGAGGCCTGGGAAGGGGGTGGCAGCATGGGCGTGGGGGGCCAGGCTGCTGCTGCTTTCTGGGCACACAGGATCGCTCTGTAGCTGATGGACCAAGCCACATCTCAGAGGACCCACATGAGGGGAGGCTCTCAATTCGTGGTCTCTGGGTCCTATCAAGTCCCCACCCCACTTTTCCTCTCTAGCCCCCCATCCAGATCAGCCTGAATTCACCCCTGTCCAAGATGAGCAGGAAGCCTTGGAGCTGTGGGGCTCCGGGATCTGACAGCCTCCGAGGACATTGCAGACCAACGGAAGATCTCTTAAGGACTTCACCCAAGAAAGTGCTGTCATGGGGTCTGCGTGCTGGGGAGCTCGTGTCTGCAGCCCAGACCTCCCCCTCAGAGAGTGCTCACATACTGGTGTAATTAACAAAAGTCCTATTTTAAAGATCCCTTTAATCTATGTCACCTTCGAGATGAGTTGCCTTTGCTGTTTCCTTCAGAGAAGAGTGTCCAAACAAGAATTGGGAAAATAAATCAAACTCTGGAATCTTGTGTGGTTGGTGATCCCAAGTTCTAACATGAACAAGATTGATCTGGCAGTGCTGGAGGGAACTGGGCCCCAGCAGAAGGAGAGTGGACCGAGGGGAGTCGCCGGTGAGACCACTGGTCCAGCCTTGTAGACACGGCCTTGCCGATGAGAAAGGGTCAGGACCGTGACACACCTCTGCTTGCCTGCTCTGTCCACTCTGAGATCACATAGTGACTGCTCTCACGGGTATCCAGAAATAAGCTCTAGAATGTAATTTTTCTGGATTTGGTAATTTTAAAAATGGACTTAGCTTCTCAGGGGCTTTTGACTCATGTGAAGTAACAACTCTCCACCAGCTCTGATTTGCCCAGCAGTGTGTCCCAGGGCTTGCTCCTCCTCGTCCACAGGGATTACTTTGTATGTGCAGAGTTTTTGAGAACATGTTTCCATTTTCTTTTGTAAGCAAATAAAAATTTAAAACAAAGCATGTGGATTGTTTTTACTGCACTTCTGTGGTCTTAGTCGAGTGCCCGCATAACAACAGTTGCCGTTCTTTGGGTAAGCGTTCAAAGTTTCGTTCGTTCGTTCATTCATTCTGACTGCAGTAAAAAGCATAACAAAAGAGGAAATCCACCTAAAACACCCAGAGCAACAGAGTTCTGTTATTCACTTACCATCTACTGGGTGGCAGATGCAATGCAGAGGTAAGCATGCTGCTAAATGACATGTACCAGTGGCTCCTAAGGAGCCCTTCTGTCTTCTAGTATTGGCTTGAAAAACCTCAAAAAGGCCAGGAACAAACAAAATTGAATCTAATAGATTAGGCTTTAAATCAGACTTGTCTTTTTCTTGCAAAATAGAAAAGTATTTGAGAAAGAACTGAGTTAACGAGAAATGAGAGAGACCCACAAGGAGTCTGTGTGTGCCTGGCCTCTGTAGCATCTTCATGGGAACAAACAGTTTTACAGTGTTGAGATGGGGTGTGTATTAGCTTGTACACACTGGTACGACTATGAGACACCCCCGACTTAAAGGAGGAGATGGAGATGGCTAATTTGGTTTGTGGCTTCCGGGCATTTGGTCCATGGCGACCAGGTCCTATGAGAGAAATGTCATCACAGAAGTTGGGAGTGGCGCAAAGGTGCTTAGTTCATGGTGGCTGAGAGAAGAAGAGGTCAACAACTGACACTGACCCCACATCTATACTTCTGTGACCCACACAGGCACCCCCAAAATTGTGATCCACCAATGCCCTGGGCAGATCCCACAGACAATCAAGTGGACACACTGCCCCAACTGCCACATTCTATTCCTTGCCAACTTATTATCTACACACATTTCCTTTAAGCATACTTAATTTCCAGATAAAATCATAGCAAATTTATAATTCTACCTGACGTAATGCAACATTGAGTGTACAACTGGAAACACCATAATCCCTTCCACAAGTCTCAACAGTCCCCACAGTTTTCTAAAATCTCTTCTAAAACTCAGAGTCTTAGCTGTGAACGTCTGTAAAAAATAAAATCAAATTATACAATCCCAAGGTACAATGGCGCAGGGTAAACATTCCTATTCCAAAAAGGAGGAATGAGGGATAGAACAGACCCAGATCATAGCGAGACCAAAACCCACAGGGAAAACAAGTCCTGTAGTTCCATATCCAGCACCCAGCACATGTGTTAGTGAAATGCGAGTTCCGGGGGCCTTGGCTGGCCCCACCCTGTGCCCCTACTGTTCGCAGCCCAGCGTGTAAAGGAATGCCCCCGTTCCTGGCATCCTGACTCCCTGGGTCTCCACTGCACCTTCAGTCTCACTTCCACAGCTACACACTCTTTTCTCCGAGGTTCCCTGCCTGGCCTCCCAGGTCTTCTTTTGAAATCTGGGTGGAAGCTTCTCTGTCCTGCCCACAACCCTCATATTCTGCATGCCAGTCAAACCAGCGTCATGTGGAAGACACCAAGGCAGTAACCAAGCCCCCCTGGACCACGGAGACCACAGTCCTTGAGCATCTAGATCGCTGGGCATATTGAAAAGAATCCCAGGGAGTCAATTCCCCAGGTGGCTTTTCTTGAGCAGGGAGCTGGAGACTCTTCTCTCAAATGAAAGTTTCACACTTTGCTCCTTTGATCCTCTGCTGGGCCGATGCTTGCTGATTCCAGAGGTGTTCTCAGGCCTCTTACTTGTCTCTATATCACAGTCCATTTCTCTTTTAATGGCACCAATCTTCTCAGCAACCTCATTTCCTTTGGTTCCACCTTTATATTGCTTTTTGGGCCACAATCTGTTTCCCCACTTTTTCTGGTCTTTATGTCCCCAACTCACACTGTAAATCTAACTGAAAGCAGCCGGCAGTACTCACACAACAGCCTGAAGTTTGGGCTGCCTTGAAATTCCTCCCTCAGATTAATTAGTCCACTGTCCGTAATCTTAGCATCTCACTAAGTCTCAAAACATGGGCAAATTGTAGACATTTTTTTTTTTCTGCCAGAGAATAACACACATGGCTTCTAGTCCAATTACCAGTGGATCTGTTGCTCCCAGCCCAAACAGCTTTAGCCTGGCCTTTTCTGTCTACATTCCTATCAACCTTCTGATCACCCATCAGACTCTGCTTACAGCATTCTATGCCTCTCAACTGCATCTCCAAAACTTTTGAAACTTCTTCTACAAATCAATTCTAAAGTCTTCTAAACCACATGGTTAAGTATAGTCACAACAACAATTATACTTCTGATATTAAATTCCTGTATTAATCATCTTTTCTGTCTCTGTGCCACAATACCGCAACAATTTGAAGAAGGAGGAGGAGGAAGAGGAGGAGGAGAAGAATGAGGACAAGAAGGAAGAAGACAAAAAAGAAGGAGAAGGAGAAGGAGAAGTTGTCGTTGAACTAGGCGCATAGTCTCAGAGGCAAGGCTAAAGATGTTTGGGCTGGCTTCTTTCAGGATCAAGAAAAGGCTGATTAGAATAGCTGCCTGGTTGCCGAGTGACCTAGCCCTCTGGGCTCCTCTTGTCCTTCTGTGAGGTATACCACACTAAGTGACAACTTCATCATCCAAAGCATTCAGCCAGCAGGGCCTTTTTGGTACCTTTCAGGATCAAGCAGTCAGCCTCTGGAGTCTTTGAAGGGGCGGAAGATAGAGAGCAGAGAGCCCACTGCCTTTCCCTTGCAGCTGTGCTGCACGAAGACACCCACAGAATCGGACAGCAAGGAGGAGGCTGACCCAGAACCCTGAGAGCACTCTTCCACCTTCGAGGATTAGGGTGCAGTTAGTCACTCTGTAGCCTTCCACCTCAGATTTCAGTCTACAGCAACTAGTGAGTGAGGACAGAGAAGGATATCCTATAGACTCTACTATTTAGCCCTTGGAAACAAGTAGCCCAAACCACGTCACACAGAACCTCTCAACCTTTGCTAGAGATGCTAAAATATAAACCATTAGAGGTTCTAAGCTACTCATATATTGAGTTGTGCAAATACACATGGCTTTGATTATGCTTGCTTTCAATTTGTTGATTTAAGCTACAGGAAGGTTTCATGAGCTGGAAGTGTGTCATCACTTGGACCCAGCATATTAGACTTTTACTGAGTGAGATGCTCAACATAAAAGGTGTAGCTCGCACTCTGGATTTGTGTTTACAGCACACTGCCTGGAATGAAAGCTGATGGGAAGTGCATTTTTATTGCCTTGCTTATCTTGGCAGAAGTATACATTTATCTTAATTTATAATTTGTACTGTTTTCTGAAAGCAATAAAGCATCATTTCATTTACAAAAGATATTACTCTTCAGAATTATCACTTTTGTTAGAAACTCTTCTCTTGGGAATCATGATTTTAGAGTAATTTTGTATGCCATAAGACCCCAATTTAGTTCTAGACAACCAACCCTCTTTCATTTTTATTTTTTAATCACTGTAGGCTTTCCATATCTAATATTGCTGTGTACCAGGGTCCATTTTAATTCGGAGGATAAAGTCACCAACAAGAAAGATTAGCCTGGCCTGGTGGAACATGTCTATAAAGCCAGCACTCAAGAGGCTGAGGCATGAGGATCACCCTGAATTCAAGGCCAGCCAGCCTGGGCTATGTAGTGAGACCCGAGAGAGAGAGAGAGAGAGAGAGAGAGAGAGAGAGAGAGAGAGAGACAGAGAGACAGACAGACAGACAGACAGACAGACACAGACAGACAGAGAGAGACAGAGAGAGACAGAGAGAGACAGAGAGACAGAGAGACAGAGAGACAGAGAGACAGAGAGAGAGACAGAGACAGACAGACAGACAGACAGACACAGACAGAGACAGAGAGAGACAGAGACAGAGACAGAGACAGAGACAGAGAGAAAGACAGAGAGAGAGACAGAGAGAGAAACACTCCATTTGCTCAGAGCTTCCTCCTCCAGCACACTGAAGGAGGAGTAAAGCACAGAAACAGATGAGCAACCTGAACTCTAGATCATGGTGAAAAAGGAAGACAGAAAATTGCCAAGAAAAGGGGAAACAAGGAGACATGCAAGGATCTGCTCCTGCTAGCTGGGCAGAGCCGGCCTCTGAGGGGCTGACATCAGGGGAAATGAAGGTAAGAAAAGGGCCGAGGAGTCCAGTCCAGGCCTGAGCGGTCTAAGAGCCCTTGGGGGCCGGTGTCCTGCATGCTAGGGGGCTTCTGAGACCAGTTGGCAGGGGCGGGAAGGAGGTGAAGGGGACCAGCACCAGCAGGATGCTAGTGCTTGAGAGTTCGCCTTAAATTCCATGGGAACAGGTTGAGGGATGGTAAACAGGGAGGTGACGTGAGCTGGCGCAAGCTCTGAGTTGGTGGAGAGAAAATCTGTCTTCGATTCTTCGTTGGACTTCTGCAGTGGTCACGGAACAGTAACTCCAGCAGGCTAGGTCGACTGTAAGGGCTTTAGAATTGCATCAGCCGCAAGGTCGTTCCGTAGGGGGGCAACACGGTGGTTACAGTGCTCCCTAAAACCCAGGAGTGGCACGATGCACACACATTCTTCTTAGTAGGAGAAGGCAGGGCAGCCACCTGCCAGCTCTGGGCTTAGTGTGCCGCACTGCTGCTATCTGGGACACTTACTGCCATTCAAGGAAAAGGACATGGAGAACCATCCCCTAAGGGACACATGTGGCCTCCACTTGTGTAGCTTTCACCTAAGGCAAGCACTTGACACATTTCATTTCACAGAACTGGAGAACTACTTTCCCATGAGCTAGAAAGCAGAGGAGAACCTGAACTATGGGTGAGAAATGACAAAAGCAACGATGCCTATGTTGGCTCACTTGAGCCTCGCGAAACCCCAGGAGCTGGTCTGCTATTCTCTTAACTTCCCCAGGAAAGGGACAGAGCATGGAAAATTTAAATTCTTTGCCCCTAAACACATAGCTATAACTCAAATCCAAGCACTGCACTTGGAGATAACCATCCTTACTTTGTGGGCTACTCTACCTTCATATGGATAATTCTTCAATTTTAAT